ACAATTTACTCTTGTATTTTGTATTACTGCTGCACACATTTTTAATTTCAATTTAGGAATCGTGCCGACTTTTGTTCAACCTCTGAAACACTTCATTTTGGCTTTAATGGTTGTACGTTTTGCAGTATCTAAATCTTTATTTATGTTATTACTTTGTGGTCATTATTTTTTAATAGAACAATGTTTTTTCAAACAGAACAAACAAATTTACAGCACTTTTCAAGTTTGATACTTGTTTTTGTATTTATATTTTTGCATTATTGATCTATACAATTTTTTTAATCAAATATTACATACTCAATTCTACTTAATTCCAATACAACTTGGGTCCGACTGTGCTGTACTGCTGTGCACAACCCATGCAAATAAAGAGAATATTTAAGTAAAGAAAATATTTTCAGAGGAAAATAAAGAGAGAAAAACATATAATAACTTTATATGTTATCAAATAGTAAAGAGAGATAATTTTTTTTTTTCTATTTTAAGTGCTCAATTCTCGACTCCGTTCCAGTTCTTCGGAACTCGTAAATCTGGTGTGCTACAGATTTAGAGACGTTTGTCGTTGTATATTTGGGGAAGTTACGCCTGAACCGTTAGCAACACACGGGGAGTATAGTATTCTTCTTGCGAAAAGAGTTTTACTCGTCTCGGCTAAAATCTTTTCGTATTTCAGTTGTAATTTATTTTTTCAGTTCAATTGTAATTTTCTATTTTTAGATTATTTGTAAGAACTGAAAATACATATCAATTCGTAGGATTCCCGTGTATTTTTGCACCAAATATCCAACAATAACTTTAATTCACTATATATTTACGCACATAATTTCATATCATTTTTCTCTTACTTTTACTTCAATCAACATAAATTATATTATTTTAAATAAATTTAACATTTTACTAACTTCTAATAATTCTATTGTAATTTGTTTTTTTTTTTAAAAAAAATTAACTCCATTAACCCCAAAAAATCCAATCCAAATCAAACCAAAAAATTTTATATACAAGCACCTGGAGTCTCCGGGTAATGCCGTTGGCCATGTCTAGCCAAATCAGGTTTGAAGGAAAACCGGCAGCGAAAAAAAGTAGAAAAGAACGCAGATAAGTGGAGTAAGAAATAGTAGATTTACTCTCCCGACACAAAACCCGCGATTGGCACAGCGAATTTGTTGTCACGCTCAAATCTCTAAAGAGGTAGTATCTTCCTGCTTCCTAATCATCTTACCCCAATTTGATGTCCTCATGTAATAATCATTTTTTAAAACTACATACATATTAGAATGAAAAGTCTTTTGGTTCACTGCGAGTGTGGATGTCGCACAGAGCCTGTGGCGACTATTCTCTGGATGGCTCCATAGATTATTTCCTAAATTTTTCTGTTGGGAAACATTTACTATGTTATACTTGTAATATGCCGCTGCAATTTTCTGTGAATAATCTTTTCATTGACATAATTTAGGTGAAAGTAAAGATATTTTTGAAGCACGTCATTCATGCCAATTTCTTCATTTGAGTTTCTTGTTTAATTTAACGCCGATATGTGCCCGAGATTTTCAATGCTTTATGCGACTGGGAACTTTTTTGGGAACTTATCTGACCTACATTTGCTTCGTACTGATGTATGAATAATTTATTTTTATCTTATGACTTAGGCAAATAACGACAAATTATCTTCTGTTAAGTTTTTGAATGCTAGTTTTCTACGGAGAAGATGAATGAATTATCTTGCTTTACTTAAACGGCTTTCGGAAAAAAAAAAAATTGCAGTAGACCAATGTTATACTGTTACTAGAAGAACAACTGAAATGAGAGATGCAAGGTTTTAACTGAAAGGCAACCCCATTACAAGTTTGTGATATAGTATTTGTCTGTTTCGTTTTTTCGAACAATACTCCAACATATTGAACATTGTACTTTTGAAAAAAAAAAAAAGTTATTTACATAATAGCTGGCTATTTCTTCTTTCCTGAGGCTACACTGAGGCAATGGGATAGTGTAACGCCCCGTTTTATTTTATTAAATTATAGCGTTTTATCGCTCGACTAATTTAGAATCTCGTTTGTGCCTTGTATGCCGAGTGATTTATTTATGCTTAATTGTAGATTTATCGCTTAATTGAATTATTCTATCAAGTGAATTATGTGATTATGTGAACTATTTTTCTTAATTGAATTATGTGATTATGTGAATTATTATCTTAAGTGAATTATGTGGTTTGTGAATTATTTTTCTTAATGGAATGTGATTATGTGAATTGTTCTCTTAAGTGAATTATGTGATTATATGAATTATTTTTTTTAAGTGAAATTATGTGATTATGAGATTTATTTTTCTAAGTGATTATGAGCTTTATGATTATTTACCTAAGTGATTATTTGACTATGTGCAATTGTGATTAGTTGATCTTGTGCCTAAGTGTTAAAATTTTTCTAAGTGTATTTATGTGCCTAATTAGATTTTTATACTATCTGATTATTATTGTTGCCTAAATTAACTATTTTGGGCCTTAGAGTATGTGATGTGCTTGTGGTTTAATTGAATTTTTGTAACCTAAGTCCTTATACTAATTTCATGCCTAAGTTTGAGTACAACCTAAGCCCACACTTTAAGTCTTTCTCGGCCCATAAGAGTTGGCCTTGTTTTGATATTTACATCAAGGACCTGAGTCCTTCTTCTCCAAACAAACATTCCCCAATCTGGGCACCACCACCGCCATCACCTCCATAAAATCCGGCGAAATCTCCCAACTGCATCCCTAGCTTCCTCCTCTATTTAAGCAGCCAAATATCAGCAGCCTCGGATTGTTTTCTCCACTCCGGTATTTCGTCAAATGTATCCCAATTTTCTCTGAAAATAAGACCAAAATCCGGCGGCTCGAGAATCATCAGTTTCCCGCGATTGAAACCAGGCCCTGACAACGAAATTCCCGTCCGAGAGCCGGCGTCCGTGACCAGACGCGAACCACCGATGACCGAAGCTCCATTTACCGACAGCTGAAAGAAAGCAGCAGCGGCTGAGACAAAGAGCTCGAGTTTTCGGCGGCGGTAGACCCGAGCTCGGAAGAGCAGCGCAGTCACTTTTTGCTGCGGTCGAAGGAGACCAGGCCTTCACGGCGAGTCGCTGTCGGTCCTGGCAAAGAGCAGAGAGCAGCGGTCAAAATCTATAGCAATCTGAGCCCTTTTCTTTGCTTCATTTTGTGCCGAAAGAGGTACTTTGGCTAAGACCTTATTGGGCTGAGTTTATGTGAAATTTATATGTGTTAGTTTCAGTTTTGCTGGAGATAACTCATAAGGTTTATGCTTGTAAATTGTGCCTTGTTGTGTTTGGGAACTTGTTGGCCTCGTCTGTCTGGTTTTGGAATGTTTTGGCTTTGATTAGTTGAGTTTAAAATCCTTGCTTTTGCCCTATTATTGTCAGGTTTTAGCGAGAATTTTTAGCATATGTTGAACCTCTGTTTTGATACCTTTATGCTGTTAAGATGAGGTTTTAAGGTGTGGATGTTCCAGCCCAAAATAATTTATAAGTTGCATGGTTCATTGACACTTAACAGCATGATTATCATGTACATGACAAACTCAGAGTATCAGGTCTCTCAAATGAGAATTTATCTTTTTGTCTCATGTTGATTTAGTCTTCTTTTCCTGCCAGACTTATTAATATATTTTGGAAATTGAAGAGCATGATGGATGGACTATTTTTGCCTTGTATATTCTAGCATATGCAGGCTATAGGCATGTTTCTTTTCAGTTGAGATTAGTTATAAGTGCAGGCCTTGAGATTAGAAGAGAAGAAGTATATGTTTGTGTGACTTTGTGTATTAATTGATGATTAATTTTGTGGCTTTAGATGCCTGCTATTTGTGTTGTGCATTTCTTATTTTTATATGCTGCCTTAGTGTGTTTTGTGAGGGTTAAGGTTCAGTTGGCCATAAGTTGGTCTTGTTTTGAGTAAGAAAAGGGAAGTAAGATGAGAGTTAGAAAAATTTATTTGCTTTTAATTGTCTTAATGCCTTGTTGCCTTATCTGCCTTATGCCTTATGTGTTTGACTGTCCTTGCTTGTTTGTCAACACCTTTCTTGTTAAGGAAAATTATTTTAAACTGTAGATTAAGAGGAGGCGAGCCCTCAATCAGACACACGTGCATTCATGCATTTCGGCAGTCAGTAAGGATAAAGGTAGTAAGGATAAAGGTGGGGGTTCTATACTATGGTTTATTCTGTATAAACATGTGGTAGTATAGTTTTTATATGCATGTGATTATGGCTGGTGGGCCTAATGTGTGATTTGAACTTTTACCATAGCGGCTTGAAATAAGAGTCACTAGGCCGGGTAATTATATACGAGACTGGGTAATGGCAATGGCACTAGTAGAGTTATTTATTAGCGGGATCGGTTGATGCCGAATGCACTAGTAAGTAACCATTCGGACGTTCATGAACATAGGTTAACGGCGTATAATAGCTAATTAGCCGGGTAAATTATGGAGGCTTGAAATAAGAGTCACTAGTCCGAATTTACCTGTAGGCTTGAAGCCGGGATGATATCAGTCAGCAGACAGTAAGCTTTACATGTTTATATGATTATTATCCTATCTGTATTTATGCTGAATCGATGCATAGTATGAATTTTACCACTGAGCAATGAGGAAATGGGTTAGACTAATGTAACTTTTACATGTGTGTGATGATCAATACAATTTTATCATACATTCTTACTTTCAAAAGCTAGAACATCGGACTTTTAAAAATATTTATTTACATAATTATTTTTAATGTATGTTTTTTCTCCTTAAATTTACTGAATTTTGTTCTAAAGTATGGCCGTCACAGATAACATGAGAGCACCTTGTCGTATTTATGTATTTCACTTGTTTTTTTTTTATTAATTACGGCTGCTATTGACACTCTTACTCCTTGGAGAATATAAAAGGCCCTGGGAATGTGTAAATTTATGACTATTATTTGACAACATGTGTTTTTGGCTGATATAGGTCAAACGATTATAATGGAATCTAGAAAGGAGAAAGACCAAGATCAATTGTCCGATTCTCTGAATGATCTTTTTACCAGTGTCTCTGCCATGATAAAAGGCGAACTCCGGGTAAGCACAACTATGAGAAACTTGGCCGCGTATTGGTTGTCTTTGACTTGATAACCAGCTATTCATAGCTGCGTAAAATGGTATATCAGATGAGTAGTTTGGCTGTCCTTTGTTCTCGAAGTTGCAATAGTATATCTATGATTAGATACAAGGGCTGAAGTTTGAGATGTATTTGATCAGTATATATAATTTTTCTGCTGAATCTATGAGCTTGCAAAACTTAAAGCTCATTTATATTTTAGTTTTTCATCCCTAAAATAAATCCTTGGAACTTGAGGACTTCTAAGGTTCTTTTGGAAAGGGAAGGACCGAAGAGATATTATGTTAACTCTTTGCAGTAATATTTGACTAGCTAAATCACCTATACGCCATTAGAAACATCTTAGCTCCACCATCTTTTTTACACTGGGCAATTTCATATTGGGATGTTGTCTAGCACTTCACAAGCCTTGAAAACATAATATGACATTAACAAGATCAATTAAATGAGGTTCATAGACAATCTTGTTGATAGCTTTATGTTAGTATTCATGGTTTGGGTATAACTTGTTTTTGTTTGATCTTAATGTCTTGCTTGTAGAAACATAATATAATTGAGTTTATGCTGATGATGTCCTAGGAAACAAATAATGTTCTTGAGCTGTTAGAGAAAATGAATGTGAGGGTTGCTGAAGAGTACAAGGGATTCGGTGATGTGGCATCAGGATTAAGGGTTTTTGTGGAGCAATTAAAGACAAAAAGCGGCGCATTCGATGACTACGTTAAACAGCTCGATGCCATAGAGCACCATGTTACGGAATTTGAAGCTGTAATTTCTATGCTTAGCAACTATGTTTCTCTGTTGGAATTGAAGTTGAAATCTGTTTACCATATTCCACCTGCATAATATGAGGTATTCTCATTTTGTTGTTTTCATCTTCGATTAGTAATTTTAGTTTCTCCGCAGTTTGTTTCTTAAGTCTCAATCAGCACATGACATTATTTGTTTTAATATAATGTATGGTGGGGGAATGTCTGGTGGTTGGACAAAAGAACTCTCTTGGAAGGTCACTTTCATATGAGGGCATACATATTTTGGTGGTGGTTATGGAGGTCAATCAGTATTCCAAATATTTTGAGGTCAGAAAAAGTGATTTGTGGATGGATGCGATTAGAGTAATTGGTTGATGTTTTATGCCATGTTTGGTAAACTTAATTGATAGCTTATAAGTGAATTTCGTATTTATAGTTTATATCTTATGACTTATGGCTGAAAGTTAGCATATATGATAAGAGTGTGTGGTAAAATTAGTTAAATAAAAATTTCAACGGATTTATTTGAAAGCTACCCAATGGAGCTTATGAGATGAATTTTAGTTTTTAAAAAATTAGTCTTACCAAATAAGTTTATTTGAATACAAGAAGTTTATAACTTAACCAAATAAACATTTAGTTAACTTATGGCTAGTTACTGAATGAATATACCACTGGAGGAACTTCTTATTAATGTTAAGATATCAATTATAGAATAAATTACCCCTAGCACAAATACATTTTTTGTTACTTCCGAAATAACGATTATAGGAACTTTATTATTAATCAACGTGATTATGGTTGTTTTACGAATCAATAAACAATTTTATGCCATAAAAAGGTAAATCAATCTTTTTATTGAGGTTAGTAAATGGGAAGGGCGGCCGGAGCATACCTGGAAAATTGATTTGCCCGCTCGACTTGCCATTTCAACGAAGTTAGGGAGTTCTCAAATCCTCCCTATTTGGCATCGATGTTTGTCCTATTATAGTTTTGCTAGAGTTTTATAATCAATTGGTGAAAGTTTTTATTTTTGGTGTTGAATTTGTTGGGCTGAAATGCGCAAATGCGAAACGTGTGAATTAAAATATCGAAGTAAAATGTTGAACAATAATCTCAATCTCACCAACTCAAGAATGTCAAAAGAAATCTCTTGCAATAAAACAAGAATAATTCTTTTATGATGTGGAAGACCACAGAGCATACTAAGAATAACCCAAATAAATAAAATATGGAAGAAAGAAGACATCAAGATTTAACGTAGAAAAACCTCCAATATAGAGGAAAAAACCACAGGACAACCTCCCGAACAATTCCACTATATTTTCAAGATAATTACAATATCTTTTCGCATTCCCCTACACTAGACTAGAAATGTAAAATATAGTGACTCAGTGAGACCCCACTCCTATTCAAATATTACAAATAAAGAGTAATAAGATGATACCCAACCCGGTGTACTTTTCTCACACTCACAGGATTTACTCAAACACAATATTTTTCTCTCACTGAAAAATCTAACACTCCAGAAACTGAATGTTGTTTCTGCTCCTTATTTTGCTTCTCGCTCTTGGTGTGTTTTGTGAAGCCAGATGCCCTCTATTTATAGAGGGGGAGTGCAATGTGAATTGCACTCTAATTCAATACCTGCTTCTTCAACGAAGGTGACTTCTTTATTCAGTCGCCCCCATTTTTTTTCTTTTTGCTGCTGGATTCAATGATGGTAGGCCTTTGGCTGGACTCATCAATTCTCCCCTACAGCAAAAGGTAATATACTGCAATTCTTTACATGCATTACATGCCGATCAACTCGACACAAGGCTGAAGCTTTCCTCTTGTTACAACATTCGTCATCATGTCAACAGCGTTTTCGTCAGTGTGAATGTTTTCCAACATGAAATGATGTTCTTCCACTGCTTGACGTAGCCAATGATATCTAACATCAATGTCTTTCGTACGAGAGTGGTACATCACATTCTTACTTAAATCCAATGCGCTTTGACTGTACAATGAATATTGTACATTTCCTGCTTCATTCCTAATTGTTGAAGAAAACTCTTCAGTCAAAGCATTTCTTTTTCAGCTTATGTCAATGCAATATACTTGGCTTCATAGTCGACAAGGCAACAGATTTTTGCAATTTAGATTGCCAAGATACGGCTCCTCCTGCTAATGTAAACACAAGCTCTGAAGTAGATTTTCTACTATCCAAGTCACCTGCCATATCCACATCTGTATAACCCTAAAAAATTGGGTTTTCTTTACCAAAACTCAGACTTTTTTATTTATTTTTTTAATTTTGTCCTAGCCCAGACTAATCAAAACAAATAAATAGGGGCCCCTAAATTTGCATCTTAACCTCCTAAATTCAATGCTTGATCGTTCATCTCTGCGTACAATGTAAGAATTGTTCCTTTCTTGATTCTTCCCTCTCAAATTGTTCATTTCTTGATTCTTCCCTATCGATTCCCTCTCAAATCTCCATTGTTGTATTTTCTACAATCTTTGCGGACTACATTCACTCACTTGCCGCAGAATTCAGCAGTCAACTCGTCGACCAACCACCACTCGACCCTCCGATTTTGAAGGTACCCAAAAAAATATTGTCTTTACAAATTCTGGATGGATAGATCATGTATTGCGAAGGGAGACGAATGGCTTATCAGGTCTGATTATTGTGTGAGACATCTATGATTGAGTACTTGGTTCTGGAAAGGAAAATAAAATTTGAAGTACGAAGCATTTAAAATATTACACTCGGAGTTTCTGCGATTTTAATTTATTTTTATTTTTCTGAATTTTGAGCAATTGGGTGTTGAGATTATGGCATTTTCTTTAAATTTTGTGTAGCTTATGCATTCAGATGTGCCCACATTTGATCTAATTATGAACCAGAATATATATATATATATATATATATATATATATATATATATATTTAGTATCATGATTTTGTTTCAGTTTTGTCTAAATATCTTTTAGTAATATAATGTTTGATTCAATTTTTATCCTCATATGTTTAGTAATATCATGGTTAGATAAATCTATTTATCAAATGTGTGGTGTCTATCAATGTTATTTTTTTGGCAATATTGCATATTTTATGATATTTGTTTGAGTTTCATTTCGTTTGCCAAATTTTTTTTCTTTTATTTTTTATTTTTTAATTTTCATCTTTTAAGTGAATGTGGAAATTATTGGAAAAGTGAATATTAGTTTTAAATAGAATGTTTGAACTTAAGATGAAGGTATAATATACAAAGACCAGAGGGATTTCTCATTTCTTTGGTTTGGGAGATTTTCTTTTATAGATTGTGCACTTTTGGTAGACATCTTATTTGGTGTGAGTTCATTTTTGAACCGACTGATCATAAGTATAGAATGTGGAAATGATTAGTTCAAAATTTTATATTTCAAGTCATATTTGGCTTAAATAAATGGGCATATTTGACTTATATTGGTATTGCGAAATTTTCATATTGGGAATGGTTTTCTCGAAGATTTTTTTTATTCGTCGAACGAGAGTTTACTAATAGTATAAGTATAGATCTATTATAGATGAATTTTATTCTGTAAAAGCTCGTTGAGCACAACTTCAATGAATATTTAATATATATATATATATATATATATATATATATTATGTGATTTTTATGAAAATGAGTTTAAAATTCTAGCACAATCTACTATTCATTTCTAGATCTGTCCCTGAGCCTAGGAGTCTTACAAATCCCAATTGAGATATCTCCATTAACATTGCCCATCAAGACAAAACGAGATTGTGCAAACGACATACGACAAAATTCCCAAGGTCACCCGAGGCTACACTGAGACCACCATCGATCGCCGTGCATCACCGCACCTCAGCTGATGACCGTCGAACAACTGAAAAACCATCATGAGCCCAACAATACGTCGTTACAGCAGCAGTGCCCACCTACAGCCGAGCGTGCACCACAGCACGACGCACAATCGCGACTCCGTAGCTCCCAGTGCCCGTGCACCTGCAGCGCGCACCGTCTCACACGACACATAAAATCTTCTCCATGACACACCCTTGTGCCCCGCTCCCATCTATTCGCAATATAGAAAATCACCTTGTAATTCCAGCAATCCCCGCTTGAACCGCTAGTAACCGACGCAACGAGACATTGGCTATGAAGCACGAAACTGTGCACGACACCCACTGACGACATGTTCCTCAAGAGATAATAAGAGATCAGTGAAAAACGTCGACGAGGAATGAAGGACGAGGAGAGAAGAGTTTCTTAAAATCGTTCGTCCAACCCCGTAGACCATGTAAGTCTGTACAGGGTCTGCAAAAGTTTTAAGCCATAAGCATTCTATCTTAACTCTAGCCCATTTAGCTTTAGGTAAACTTTTATAGATTAATCCATGACTTGCACAATTTTGAAGTTCCTTATATAACCACAACAAACAGAACACGCGCCACCAGTCCTATTTCTAGACTTCATCACGTGCGCTTGCATGCATGTCGCAACCTTTCTGACGCACTGTAGTGGGGCAAGTGTGGCCAGTGTCTATGCCAAACCATCATCGGGACAACCGTAGATTGTTTTCTGCCAGGCTCTGCACGCGGCGACCGCATGGGCCTGAGTGAGAAACTCGTGCCCCTATGTTTCTTGCGCTTGCCACATCGTACCATCGCCTGATACCATCGCCAGCCTATACGAGGTGTCACCTCGCACGCCTTGGCAATGCCTGCCATTTGCAGCAAGCTGCCAAGGGTGCCAGCATGCGCACGATGCGTCCTTGCGCCGGCACCCATAAGATTGCAGTTAACTCGCCTCACTAGGGTTTCACTGATTGTAACGCCCCATTTGTTTATGAATAAATGTGTTATTATTATTATTATTATTATTATTATTATTATTATTATTATTATTATTATTATTATTATTATTATTATTATTATTATTATTATTATTATTGTTGTTGTTGTTGTTGCCATTAATTGTTATTATATGTGTTGATTTAATTGTCTAATTGCCTAAATAAAATTTTATGTGCCTTTTGTGTATTTAAAATAAATATTAAATCATGTGGATATTATATATAATTATTAATTATTAT